GATTCACCAGTTACTAACACTTCCCCACATGTGCTTTACTTCCATGCGCTCTGTCTCCATAGACATATTTATGCATTTTATTGTTTTCATTTTGCTGTACTATTTGAGAGTAAGTTGTAGACTCTGTGACCTTTTCCCCCGAAATACTCCAGTGTGTATCTTCAGAGAACAAGGACATTCTCTTACATAAGCCACAGGTTTTGTGTTTGTGTTTTAAAAAGTCTTCTTAGAATCAGAGCACTTGAGGAGAACCTGAGAAAGTCATCTGGCTCACTCCCCTGCCTCTTGTAGGTAAATTCCTAGCGGTACAAAATTGATATTTTCCTAGAGTGATAAACACAGATTCCCGCAGGGACCAGGCCTGTAATGTAAATGTGTGAATCAGAAGTATGGGACCGCCCTCATGACATGTATGTATGCCCAATTTAAACAAATAAACCAACGCTGTGCTAAACAAAACCTTCTATGAGGGCCACAGTCGTCCCTTAGGCCATGAGTGTGTCACCCATGGATCTACCTGCCACGTTCTCGTGGGGTGGGACAGCCACAGCTTTCTGTAGAAGCACCTTGTTAGGGTCAAGAAGTTCTCCTTTAAGTCTAACTCAGTACCCAGTTGAGGTTTATGGCCGTCAGCAGTGTGCCGTGGTTCAGAGTAGGGGTTCCAGCCTGTGTGTGTTTGAATGCCATTTCCACTATTTACTAGGATCTTGAGGAAATGACCTAACTTTTCTGTGGTTCACTTTTCCCCTTCTGTAAAATAATAGTACCTACCATGTAGATCTATTGTGGGGAGTAAGTGGATGTGAATATGTAAAGCACCTTAAAACAGAGTGTGGTAGACACAGTAAAAAACTTGCCATCAACGAATTAAAACTTGCTATCTATTAATATTAACCTGAAAGCCTGGAGGTATTTTTTTCTTACATCCGTACAGACCATGATCATGTATAAGGGACCTGGGTGAGATGTGAGGACTGTTCTTTCTGTAAGTCTTAGAGGATGTGCCCATCCCTAAACCAGAATGCTGACTGTCTACTTCTCTCACTTCATTTCTGTCTTCATCCCTGTTTTCTGCTTAATCCCTCTTATCAGACTTCTCCACAGCCCTTGAGAGTTCCCTAGTCCTGAGGAAGTCGTTGCTTAATATATTGGCTATAAGTGACTCTGGGCAAGTTATTTAACTAACGCCTTTGGGATTTAGTTTCTTCTCTGTAAAATGGAGGTAACAGAAGTACCCACCTCGTGGGGTTGTTGTGAGGATTCAGTGAGTTCCTCTGTGCACTGGGCCAGAGTGGTGCCTGTGTGCGCACTCGCCATTAGGTAGGATGCACATTCTCCTTTATTAATCGTAGTCATAGTCCTCAGCTGTGTACTTTGTACTCGTGACCCAAATTTTCTTGCCACCAGCACTCTTGAGGGGATTTTCTCTTCCCCTTTTCTCTGCAAGTTCTGTTATTAAGATCACCAGCAGTCTTCTCTGTGTCCAAATCTAAGATGCTTCTCCTTTTCTTAGCCTTCTGTAATATTTTTTGACAGTAGAGATCATCTTGCAACCAGAGGTACAGGGCAGGGGACAGTTGAGGGGGTTATGGGAGGGAAAGAGGGAGGGAGAGAAGGGAGGGAAGAAGGGGCCGAGAGAGACTAGAGCTGATTGATTAGTAGAGAAGCTGTGATGGCAGGATTTTGAGAAGGGTTAGACATGGGGTGGGTGAGTGAGAAATGGAATTGGCAGTTACAAGATAAGCAATTTAGAAGAAGTGTTGTGATAGCAAAAGGAGACTGAAAAATAGAATGGTTGGAGATGGTAAGGCACCTGTCAGACATTTCTTCTGACACTAGGAGGCCATGCTTGTAAGTACTCCGCCACTGATGTAAACTTTACCATGGACCTCTGGAGTAGACATTAGCATTCCCTTTTACAGATGTGGAAACGGAGGCTCCAGGGAGTTAACTAGCACTTAAGATTAGCTAATAAGGGGCTGACATTTCTTTTTCTTACTGTTCCCTCCATTCTTTTCCTTTTCTAGAACTTCTTGATTTTGGCCCAGGCAGGGCTTGCATTTGCCAATCAATGCAAACACTTCTTTCTTCTCTCTTTGGTTCACTTGTCTGCCTTTGCCTTTCTCCAGAAAGCATCTTATATCCTCACAGGCAATATGTATTGAGTGACTTTGTTTGCTCTGCGACATCCGCTCTGAAATAATTTAGAGAAACACAGCACTTGCCTTTTTGGCGTTTATATTCTAAAACTGTTGACCACTTTTTCCCCAGGGAGATCGGAACAATCATCAGGTCACTGGGATGCTGCCCCAATGAAGGAGAACTCCACGACTTCATTGCGGAGGTAAGCAG